CAATTATAGTATTTTCATCTGTGTAAGAAAAAATTGGTCAATGGCAGGTTGACATGACTAACAGGGAGCAAGGAATCGTAAAAATGCATGGCTCATTTTTTTAACGTCCTTGGAGTGAACTTCATTCTGATTTCTTAAGAAGATCGGAGTACTTGATTTTGAACCAATTGAGCAAGTTTATGGGCCACAGCCCCCAATTCGCACAAGTCGATTTGTTCCAATCAGGGTTATAGCCAAACAATTTAAAGTGCCTTCAAAATGAAAAATAACAGTTCCGAGTATGAAACGACAGAGTTACGATCGATTTTTTGCCGATGATTTATGATTATTTTGTAATTTACGGGTAATTTAGACAGGTTTGTAAAAAAAAAAAAAAAAACTTATTTTCACAAGAAATGTTGTACCTGTCTGAAATGGCACTTCCGTTATATTGACTCTGGTCAGCCTTACGATCTTGTGTGGGTGATATCAAGTAATCAGCAAGCTATATACATCGTTATATCTGGTACAATAGAGCACTACACGCTATGCATAATAAACAATTCGAGACCTCACCTATTGTGAGCGGAAGCTCCAATCGTATCGGACGTACGCCGGCGAACGGAATTAAAAGCAATCGAAACTTCTACCGGCATTGGATTTTAATCTCAAAAGTTGCATCACACAAATTACAAACAGCAAATAAAAATCGAGTTACCCCAACTAATTACTTTGCGATTATCCCCATTTTCCCACTCTGGCTACCATTTGTATTGGGAAATGAAACATTCACTATGTTCGAAAACGCATATCCACATAATGATGTTTTTGAAATCATTCGATGCCATGGTCAGAACCTTACTGTTGTATTACTCTGGAGTGCGATCTGATGTTATCATTAACTAAAGCAACATTTACTTTTGAAAACCTGGCATGTTTGTTACAACTACTAGGGGGTCACGTGATTAAATCAGGCATCACACACGTGATGAACTACTGGCTAAGAATAAACACACTGCCAGAAAACTGTCTTATGAAGCTGAGAAACTAGGTATTAAACTGGGTAATGATCAAACAAAAATCTGGGTATCTGGCATTTAAATATGTGCAGCATATAATAAACAGTTGAACACTTGGAAATGTGGGAAGAAACAAAATCAAAAGGCGTAAGAGGTAAAATTAAAACAATATTCGAAAAAATAAATAAAATTTCAAGAAAATATCACAGCAAATTCATACGATGTGGAAATAAGGGATTAGATCACAATTTTATAAACTGAACTTTGTTCATCGGCAGTTATAACGGACTTCTCAGTTGACATAATAAAAACTTACGCCAGAGAACATTGTAGCCAAAATAAGAATTAGGACACATATTCTAAAAATTGTAAGGGGCAAATAAAAACATGTTGACGTTTTCAGAATGAAAATGCCACATTTGTAAAACAAAAGTTCATTGTTAAATTTAAATATTCACCTGGTTTTAGCGCATTTAACTGCCAGGAAAACAAACAAACAAAAAACAGCAAAAAATTAAACGTTAGTACAGAATTGTTGAACTTGAAGACAATATATCAGAAACTAGTTCAGATACGCAACGTTTTTTTTTTATTTTTATTATTATTTAAAACAGCCAATCACAACAAATAATTTAACAAATTTTCGGGAAATGACTGTTTCAAAGGTGTGTACAGCGTATATAACTTTATTGCGTCTTCAACGGCGACTGTTGTGTCTAGAAAAGTGTCTGGGGATGTTGCAAAGTCCCTCGGTAATTACCTACCTGGTGCGGGAGTCATGTATGTATTATATAAATATATCTTGCGCTCGCTGTAACATATTAAAACAAACTGAGGTATCGCTAGAAGATTTCATTTGTGGCGTGTAACCTGTATGCAGAGATCATGAAAGACAATTCGCAAGTCACACGCCCAATGAGACTTATATAGTCTCGTGGCAAACGGTATCCAAATAAAGTTCCCGGATGTTCCCGCCATGTGCCGAATTTCAAAATGGCGGATACAGTAGTGAAATTCGTGTCACAGAAAGTCAGCAAAATTAGGTGGCGACCAGTATCTCACCAAGGATTACAATCGTCTGACGTGTTTGTTGCCGGTAGCTGGGATGACGAGGTAGGTTCAGAATGTTTAAATGATAGCCATTTTACCTGTCTGTTTGAAAACCGGAAATGTGTAACGAACATAGAATCGGCGAGTTTGAACGATCGATCGCACTGTGTGGACATATTTTTCCCAATGGTGTTCTGTAAATGAAGTTGGTCCCAGAACAACGTTATATATTTATATCAATACTGTTTATTTTATATGCGATTGCTTAAAACATGCGAAATCAGTGAGTAAATGTGGCAATGTCACTATGACCTTGACATCTGACCTCACCGAGATCTTTCTGTCGTCTGACAATGAACTGTCAGATGCGGAACTAGAGAACGACGAAACAATAGGATATAGCGTTTGATATTTAATCTATCAAACTACTAAAAAACTTAAGTTGTAGCCACAGGCGCTCGGAACGTTTCTTGGATAATAAAAATGACCTAAAGTAGGGTCGGCATAGTTAGTCAGTCGCCGGTACATTCGCCTACCACTCATATAATAACACAAGGTAGGAAAGCTTTGACACCATGACATCAAAATTGTCTGAAAATAACACGATTCTTAAAATTATATTTCGATCCGCTTCACACAACTCAAGTATGATATTGGTAGAAACTATCGATTGACTTACATTACCTTTATTCAAACTAAAACGAGTGAAATCCTGTGAAAATCAAAACACCAGAGAAAAATGTACATAATCCTCTACGCGGATATTTTGAAGCGTAATGCGTCATCAAAAACCGGTGCAGATGTGTTTATTTATATTGCAAAATATTAGCTCAATTTTTGTTTTTCAGGAAAATTCAATTTAAGAATACAACATAATGATACAATATACAACAATACAAATATTTAAATGTTGAGACTATGCAGTACGCGCATACTTGATGTTTGTGACACATTAGGGACGACGTCAAAAGATCGATGTCGGATAAAAAACTTATTTCCTTTAGTTTGGGGGTGGGGGGTTTTGACCTCAAAAAGTTTCCATCCTACAAAAACGATTTTATTTTTTAATGAAGTCAAAAATAATCTTGGAGTATTTGTAGTTCGTTTTTTTCTATCCAATCATGGACAGAAATAACCGAAAAGGGAAAATAAACAGGAAAATGGTTTGGTTCGAGTGTAAATCTGTGCGCCAAATGAGGTGCATTTGTAAAATAGTGTTACACCCACTCGACAACCAACTGCTATGCAATACTACTGCCCGATTATCAATTTGCATCTAATGGTGAATGTAGTCTGACGCCATGATCAATATTTATCAATTAAGTTTCAGTAGGGGGGTTTGGAAAAAAACTACAGGAATTAAGTTTTTTTTTGACATCGATCTTTTGACGTCGTCCTTTAGTTAACCGACATAACACATTTGATATCATTGATATTCGATAAATATATGACCGTATTTTACATATTAGATTCTGAATGTTTGACTTGCAGCAAAACAAGATATCAATGTGGAAATGTCCAGATATAAAAAGCCATAGCAATGAAGAGAACTTGTCAGCTGAACAGTTTGAACCGCAATTACTCTGCGAAACGCTACATTTAGGGGATGTCACTGATTTAAAGGTAAGACCAAACAAATATTTCAGGTCATTGTGTACACCAGTGGACAGTGATGCAAAAGTATCCTCGGGGGCGGACATCTGGGCAATTTCTACCGCCTGGCTACCCTGCGCGGTGAAAACAAAGACCAAAAACTCGCAGAAAATGGTACTTTGGGATGTTTGTTGAGACTCCCCTGAACAGTGTAACAAGATTAGTTTTACGTGTGTAACATACATAAATTTGGTTGTTCAGGATTACTTCAAAGTTGAGTTTGTGTTGTTTTCTCGAGTTTTCACCGGCTCCACCGGCGTTCCACAGCAGCGCGCACAAAGCCCATAGAAATACGTGGTACAGTGGCGCGCGTCTTAGCAACGTAGAACGTCTGTGACGTAGCTCCGCCCCCGAGGA